ACCCCACACCCCTTCTGCACCCCCTGGGGGCAGGGAGGGGGCAGAGTTGGGGTGGGGATTTCGGGGAGGGGGTTGGAATGGGGGCAGGGAAGAGGTGGGGCAGGGCCTCATGGAAGGGGTGGAGTGGGGGCGGGGCGGGGGAGGTATCAGTAATGCGGCCCTCGGGCCAATGTACTAGTCCTCATGTGGCCCTCATGGTCATATGAGTTTGAGACCCCTGCTTTAGCCTAAATAAATTTCTATCCAATGCAAAGTTTCTTGCAATTCCAGTAACAAATTCCTTCTGCTTAGAACAAGATTTAAAAGTTGTTTAGGAGCAACTACCTACCTTGAGCTGTAGCAGCATTGGCAGAATAGAGCTGCTGTGCCTGCAGTTGCCATGAGGAGCCAGAGCCAATGCAAGAGTTTATTCTGTAGTTATTTATATAACTATTTGTATCCCGTGTCTGTGTGATGATCATGACTGTATCATTCAGGAATAAGATCCCATGCACATTTTGATTTTAAAACAAAATGATAAAATATCTTACCTTTTATCTGATATCCTGCATCCGAAGAAGTGGGCTGTAGTCCACGAAAGCTTATGCTCTAATAAATTTGTTTGTCTCTAAGGTGCCACAAGTACTCCTGTTCTTTATCCTATCACAACACATTTCAGAGAGGATCAACTGTAAACTAAAAGGAAAAGAAAGTTTTTATGGAGTGATGTAAAGAGAAGAACTGAGTGAAGTGTACAGATTTGGGTAAATTTAAATGGAAAGAGGGGGTCCGTCCTGCCTTAAATAGTTTTTCAAACAAATATGTGTTAGATGTAAGTCCACCAAAATTTGGTACCCGAGCAATCAGTACACAATTTTATTTGCGTATCATACTTTGATTACAGTTATTCTTTCATATTCCAGGACAAAGTCCCTTCTTTGTCATTGATTCGGTTCTATTATTATTTCAAGAGAAAAGAGTGAATACAGATGTTTTTGTTTTGTTTTTAATTGCATTAATTTCAGTCTTAAATGTATACTTTTCATTTTTTAAATGTATTAAGCCTACATTTAACAAACATGTATATTTTACATTCTTTGACAACATTCTTCCTGGGCATTAAATGATTTGAAAACAATCTAACTCATTAAACTGCCTGTGTGCAGTGTCTTGGTTCAAATTATAGTTCTAAATGACATCATAAATTTTATATATTAGCAAGCATTAGGCATAGGCATGAAATGTAATATATTGTAACTCACCTCTTCCTTGTCAGACAGCTGAGCTAAGGAAAAGAAATATCTCCTGAATGAAATTAGTCAGAGTTACTTCCTGGAAAGCTGTTAATGAGGCAAAAAATGTCTGTCGTGCTGTCTGATAATTATTCACTTTTCCATTGGATTATTAATGCCGAGACTAATGGGCTAAGTTTATCCCCGGCATAATTTCACTGATTTCAGTGGAGTTATTTCAAGGATGAATTTGTCCCCGTTTGGGCTTGAGGAAAAACACACTTTATTGTTATGCTGCCATACTCCATTCAGCTGAACACTGCTGTTGGAATCTATACAGCAAGTTAACTAGGAGTATGGCCCTGACAATTTGAAGTAACGAAGCTTTATCTTTCAAGATGATATGTATCCTTTAAATTTATCTTCTGTATGAGTTTTTTTTCCCCCTTGAGAAAAGAACAATACTTTTATCTTCATAGGAATCAAAGCATATTCATACAGTTGCCATTATAGTCAAGTTCCTTTGAAGGTGGGTGCCTATAATTCTGTTTAATGTATAGGTTCTTCTGTATATTTTATATGGAATTGATTGGAGTTGCTCATTGTAATTCTGCTAGTTTCACTGCAGAACTTTTTACAATGCTAGAATTGGCACTTTACTATAAAAAGGGAGATAATGGACCAGATCCCATCCGCTCAAAGAGCTTCACCTTTCTACATAGGAGGAAATGTAGCTGCATCTGCCACATTTTACATATTTCCTTGTACTGTCACTACTTATACTATAATCACCCAACATAACGATCCTTTTTACTGTTTTACTGTCTCTCATAGATTTGCAGAATATGATTAATATGTTGAACAGTAGGACATATTGGAATGCAGTGAGCCAAATTTTGAGCTCAGTTCCGCAGATGTAAATCCAGAGCTTCAGAGGAGCTAATTTAGATTGACATTTGGTTTAGATTACTAGATTATAAAATTAGAAAGGGCCACTGTGATCAACTAGTCTGACCTCCTGTATAACACAGACCTGAAGACATCCCTGAATTAATTTGTGTTTGAACTAAAGCATCTATTTAAGAAAAACATCCAGTCTTGATTTAACAAATGCCAGTTATGGAGAATCCACCACCATACTTAGGAAGGTATTCCAAAGCTTAATTATCCTCACCGTTAAAAATGTGTGCCTTATTTCCGGTGTAACCAAGAATAGAATCTGGCCTCTTGTTTTTTTTTTATCATTACTACAGATATTATGAAGATTAAAAGGATCTAATAGTGAACGTTACATATACTCACTGAAAGATGCAGGGGGAGTGGAATATTTCATGACTTTGAGCCCACTTGCCATCATAAAAAGGTTCCATGTATGTAATCTGATGGCTTTTAAATAAAAGTCCATTCTTCTCAAGTGACAATTCTATTTTTCTAGCCTGGGTCAGAAGGTACTATTATAGGGTTTGGGGCCCTATTTTGTTCGTTATAAGGGGTGGGAGAGAAGAATTTCTGCTGGATCAAGGAAACTATATAACAAAGGAATCTGAATGGGTTACTACCAATGGGAGATTTTGAATACTTATATGGGAGTGGAAGGCTTCTGTGCTGAGCACTCACCAGTAACAGAGTGTCTGAATGTTGCCATGGATATAGCAGCAACAGATGTAGTCATGGACATTATTGCCAAGAAGCTTAAAAGGAGAAAGGGAAGGGGATGAGCTTGGAAAAACAGTGTCGTATAGTAAAGGTCAGATGAAGAACACCTGAGAATGCAGTCTCTTTCCTCTCACAAAAGACAAAGACTTGTACTGGTTATGCCGATTTTCCAGTATAATTATAAACAACTACAAATGCTATAGCTATATTTATAGCTAAATGCCATGCTATAGCAGCAGAAAAATCACAGAAAAAACTAACCCAACAAAAGTCACAAAACCAACCATAGAGGAAAGAAATCAGTAGGGTTGTTTAATACTCTGTTGTTTTACAGCCAAGCAGACAGCCAAGCTAATACTTAACAAATTTTTGTATCTAGGGGGCAGAAGTGTTTACCTCTTCCCTATCCCCACTTATATACAGCAGTCATAGGAATGTCTCTATGTCAGTTTGCTAGAGTACATTGTGTCCTACAAGCACAGAGTCAGTGCTGATTAGCAAAGAGTGTTAATGAGTGGAACAGTTGATAGACACTTCTTGACAGAGTCCAGATTTATCATCTCTGTGACACGTGATCTCTACTGTTCCATGGAGCAAAAATCTTGCAGTTAGTCAAGAACCTGAGAATTCCAGAGTATTTTATGCTGCTGAAGAGTTACCGGACCAATTCCCCATTGTTACCTAAGCTATCCCCTTACGATCACCTTTTTTAAATGCACTTCTTTTGAACTGTGCTTTGTTTAATTTTTGCAGCCTGGAGAATAAAAACTAGAAAATGTGTCAGCATTATTATTAAAAGTCATGGCTACAGATGGAGATGGTGCTTTGCAAACAGTTGGAAAGTCATCTTCACAACCATCAGGAATAGACATTTTAATGTGTCTTTTTAGTGAAAGTAGACATTGAAGACATTCATCCAAGGGAGCTTCCAGCTCACTTTGGTGAGTGCAGGTTCCAGTTTGGAAATAAAATTGGATGTGACATTATGCATACCAGGCTTGATATGATTTGGATATAGGCCTCAGTAGATTTAACATTCAACTGTTACTTCTGATAGTCATCATACAGTACTGTACATTTAATGCTGGAAAGTTTAGGATAATCTATGAGCTTTAATAAAAAGGTTGAGAGTGAAATCTATTGACTTAATGGAGCCAAGATTTCACCCTAAATCTCTTAGCATGTTATATTTATTAAGATGTCTGTACTTAATTATCTATTAAGGGGGGTTTGTGAGATGATGGCTGTGTAATGATTTAGTAGCTTTTTTTGTTTCATGCAGCATACAATTATTGGATTTTGATTTTTGATACTTCACTTGTTGGGTGCTCAACCTGAAACCTTAAAGGGGCTGGATATTCTAATGGTGTGTCCACTCCTCATCCCTTTCTGAAAATCAGGCCCTTTTAAGCTGTCTTAGTTTGAGCTCCCAAAATCACTAGTCACTTTTGAAAATCTTGGCCCATACTTTTCACTTACTGAACTTAGAAGAAATATTTTCTCATCCAAACTTGCTGTTGAACTTGCCCTGTTAATAATTTATTTAGCAAACTACATTTTTATATCCAATTTATATTGTTCCAGATTGCAGCAAAGTTATAAACGTAGGCAGCTTTAGTAAATATTGACTTAGCGTTTCCCTATTCCCTTTGGAAACAAATGACAGAAGTAGTACAGTAAGTGCTAAGATTAATACATCTCAAATACTTGCAATTGCTCTTGTATAATATTTCATAATCTTGACTGCTATAGTTGCTGGTACTTTTTACCTGGACTTAGTAATAATGGACAGAGTTGGAATTATTTGTAGGCAATATCATTATTTTTAACTTAAAAGTGACCTGTTAGAAAACAACATTGAGTTTGTGCCTTGTTTTTAGTTCCTTTCAATTAACCATTCCATAGATTTCCCAAAAGTACAGCATGAAAGCCAGAAAAGGGCAGTGGAAAAATACTGTTTACAAACAAACAAACAAAAAAGAAAACCTTTTCAGGCCTTTGTTCAGCATCATAAATAAGCAAAAAGAGCATAAACCCAAGCCATAGGTTTGATTGCAGTACAACACCACTATATCCTCAACATGAGAGAGGAGGGAGAACAATCACCGTGGGGTCAGCCCAGCATTCTAACAGAAGATAGGAACACATTGCAAGGAGATGGACACCTAGAAGGCAAACTGAATTAGAAATAGACTCCTGTGTGCAGCCTGTGCCACTAATGAAACACAGAGTTCCATTAGCCCTGGTGGAGCTGTTGAGGAAGGAACTGGCAGGTCTGTGAAGAAAAAGCATTACACTATTCCAACTAGCACAGAGTAGATCAGCAGCCTAGTAGTGGTGAGAAAACCTTCAGGTAAACTGAGGAGCTGCATTAGGAGTGCATTAGCTGCACTTAATAGAGTATTGAAAAGAAGTTGCTACCCATGAGCAGGACATGCTGCCTGATTTATGCAGGGTAAATGTGTTCACTGTTTGTGGTGTCAAGAATGGTTTCTGGTATACTGAGCTACATGAACCATCCAGCCATCTACCAACCATTGCCACACCTTTGGGCAGGTAGTGCTGCATAGAGTGGTGCAAGTAGAATTTATTTCTTACCGGTACGCTGCGCATAGGCGACTCATGGGAGGGACACAAAGGGGGGGACACTAGCTAAAGGAGGGCACGTAACACCCCCCGTGCAGGAGCGCCGCCAGCTTTTTTGCCGCCTTAGGCGGCGGAAGGTCCCACCCCCGAAATACCGCCCCCGACAGAGGCAGCAAAAGGTCCCGCCCCCGAAATACCGACGATGACTGGAGCGGCCGAAAATCCGGCCGCCGCGGTCGCCACCCCCCAAATGTTAGTGCCCTAAGCGAACCGCCTAGGTCGCCTAATGGGTTGCGCCGGCCCTGCCCCCGTGACTTTGCCCTGCCTGGTCCCACCACGCTCTCCTTGCCCCCTCCCCATCCTATGTTACGGGGGGAGGGGGGGGAGAGACTCGGTCCTCCCACTGTGCCAGATACAGATTTCTGAACTGCAGGTCTCTCTGGAACTACAGCGGCAAAAGGAGCAGAACGTGGGGCTGCCAGATGGCCCCATGCTGGCAGCTCCGCCGTCCCCGGCTGTACTATCCCCAGCCCTGCCCCCGCCCCGTCCTCTGGCGGGGCTGTACAGAACCCAGACAGGAGATGCAGCTGCGTGGAAGGGCTGGGGGCGGGAGAGCTGCGCTGGAGGGCGTCCCCATGTTCTGCTCCTGTGTCTTTCCAGTATGGCGTACCGGCAATAAATATCTTAATGGTATGGCATACCGGACCGTACTGTCCTACTTGCACCACTGGCTGCATATGAATGCCTAGGGCATAAGCCCAGACCCAGAGGTATTCCAGTGTAAACTGAACCAGGCACTAGAGGGATTCCCCAATAGGAAGATTGTAGCTGATGCGGTTCTTGTCGTAAGTGAAAGAGATGACAAGGAAGAGGCGATGCAGGACCCTGATATCAAGCTGTGACCACTCCAAACAGGTACCAGGCGGAATGGCTTAGGAGGCTGAACGCAGACAAGCTGAAGTGAGGAAAACTGAGGGACTCTGGCCAGACCCCAAGAAATTGGAAGCCATTAAGGAAATGCCCAGACCAAAGCATGTGCAGCAATTTATAAGGATTGCCAACTTTCCAGATTCTGCCCACACCTATCAGAAGCCTATGGAACCTTGAGCCAGCTCATATACCATGATGCAGTGTGGGAATGGTCAGAGACCAAGAGCGGGTAGTTAAAAGAGTAAAGAAAATCATAAGCAATGCACCAGTCATGCGGAGAAGCAAGTGCTACAGTGTGATGCCGTAGAAGGAGACCTAGGAGCAACACTGATGCAAAGCCAGCAGCCCATAGCATTTGCTAATAGAGCCCTGGCAGACACAGAAAGGGGTCTGCTCAGATACAAAAGGACTCCTGTTTGTGCTCTTTGGGATGCAATAATTGCATACGTTCACCTTTGGGCACCAGGTGGACGTGCAGTCTGATCACAAACGGTTAGAAAACATCATGAAGAAGCCACTGCTGCGTGCACCTGAGCGACTACAACATATGTTATGGAGAGTCCAGCACTATGAAGTGAGGATCTGGTACTGCCCAGGAAAGTCACCACTGGTGACAGATACACTGAGCAGGAGGTAGTCTGTCAACATGCTACAATACCTTCACGTTTCTATACGCAGCTCCAGGCAATCCAGCAAAGCACAGAACAGGATGGGTGCTACAGGCAGTAAAACTATTTGTACTCTAGGGTTGGCCAGATCGCAAGGAACAAGTGCAACAAGAAGTTACCTCCTACAGCCAGGTGAGGGATGAACTGTGTGTGCAAAACAGGATTTTGTTTAAAGGGCGTCGAGCATAATCCTAGCAGATTTAAGAGCTGATATGATGACACAGATACACACGTCACAGCTGTGCATTCCTGAGATGAACCAGGTAGTGTATCTACTGGGCAATGCCCAACTGAGAGCACATATGGAACTGTAGGAGGTGTGTAAAAGGTATAGTGATCAACAACAGCATGAGACTTGACAGCCTCCTGAAGTCCCGACCTTGGAAAAAGTTGCAACAGATCTGTACTCTTTTTTTTTAATGACAGGAACTACATGGTCTTCAGTTTCTGGGAGGTAGACTATCTGGAGGACTCTAAGGCAAGAACTGTGATCTACTAAGGGCATGTCTACACTTGCTATTTAAAGCGGGAAAAAGTCCCTTTTTTGCGCAAAAACGGTGGGAGCGTCTACACTTGCCAATGACTTCACCGCAGAAAGAAGTTTCACCGCAAAAAGAAAACCACCTCCACAAGAGGTGTAAAGCTAGGGTTACCATATCTAACAAATAAAAAAAGAGGACCCTCCACGGGCCCTGGCCACGCCCATTTCCCCACCCTAGCCCTGCCCCAACTCTGCCCCTTCCTCACCCTAACTCCGCCCCTTCCTCCCTCCCTCTCCCAGCCACGTGGAAAGGGCTGCCCGAGCACTACCGGCTTCACGGTTTGCCGGGCAGCCCCCAGACCCTGCGCCCCTGGCCGGCGCTTCCCCAGCACAGCTGGAGCCCGGGAGGGGAAGCGCCCAGCCGGGGTCGCAGGGTCTGGAGGCGGC